ACATCCCATTGGCCAGATACATATATTCAAAACTGCTGGTGTATAGTGTAAATATAGCCTAATATTATAGAGCAATTTATACCAAACTGCATACAGCTATTTGTTTGTGATCATAATCAGTGCAGTGTATAGAAACCATGACTTCTATGCAGTAGCCTGAAACTAAAAATGTGTGGTGTGAAAAAAAAAAACATTTTTTTAACCCTTGCAGTGGGGCTTCCCCCTGCACTGCAAGGGTTAAGTGCTTACATTTTTGTCTAGGGTGTAAAATAACAAAGTTATACTCACCTTAACCTAGCAGCCGGTTGGCTGTTAGATCAGTCCCTGAAGCCTCTCTCCCCCTCCACTCCAGCGGTCTAAGGTCCTGTGAGCCAGCGAAGGACATTCCATCGCTGCAGTGGAGACAGACTGGTGGGAGCGCTGTCACAGCTAGCTGGCTGCAAGGTTTGAGTGAGTATAACTTTGTTATTTTAGACCCTAAATGAAAACTAGCACTTAATCTTTGCAGTGAGGGGGTAGCCCCCACTGCAAGGGTTAAAACTATTTTTTCCTGGAGTTCTTCTTTAAGGCTCTAAAGCAGACTCACAGACACAAAACAAATTTCTGGTACAGTCCCATCTCCTGAGTAAGTGTTCATAGCTAATTGTATAGGCTTTCCCAAAGATGATCAATTTCAAATTGAACCAGAACACTGCGAAACGAATTGTTTCCAACCTATGGATTTGTCTAAAGTGTTTTATTTGTAGTGTTTACTGGCGTCAAACTTTCTATTTCAGCCCTATTGTTTATTTTTGAATCTGTAAATATAGTTAGAAATTAGTTAACCCACCATGATAGATATGCAAACCCATCATGAGCGATATACAAGAGCTGTCTTTTGAAAATACTGGTTGCTTGATTAACATTCTGACCCCTTTTTATTCAGCACTTTGTGAATCACTTAACCAGAAAAATGTTTACAGTAAAGAAAATCAGAGAAAGGTCAGTCTTACTGGTTTCAGGTCAGTGACCCAAAGCATTGAAGCTTTCTCAATTCCTTTAACTATCATTTTCAGAAGGTCAGCAAGGGGTCATTCCATCTGTCCCTCATGATGTGACAGGTTGTACTGACAAGCACTGAAATGGTATTTTAGTACCATTTAAAGATAACTTCAGTAATTTAGGAGACATTTGATGCTGTTTTAGCAAACTTGTGTTTATTTTAAACAGGCAGCTTAAAGTATAACTGTACTCCAAAAGTGCAGGCTTGCTAACTGCCATTTCACTGGGAAAGCCTCAGTTGCCAGTAAGGGAGGGCACTTTCAAGTGAGTTGGAGAGTAGAGGAGTTCAAATGGTTAACTGTATTTGCATACAGTTATTCTTTCATACAGTTATCCTATACTTCTGTGCTCGCAAATCTTGCAGATCAATGCTGTGTTGCCCACCGAGCCACAAAGCCATTGCCAAAAATGATCATATCTGGTCCCCAAGTCTTTTGAACATGCATAGACAAAATCTCTTTAACTCCTGAAGAGAGGCCATCTACAAGACGGCCTCTCCATAGGAATCAGTAGAATTTGCCTGTGCATGCCCAAAGTCTTTATGACGGGTCAGGAGAAGTGGCTGTGCCAGCACCCCTTTCCATGTGGGCTGCACAGTGCCAATCTGCCAGAATAGTGGACAGGTGATTATAAGACAATATCTTGGGGAGAGGGAGAGAAATGTAAAGGAATATTTTATGAAAGCAAAGTTATTATTTAACTATAAAATCAGAAAGCGTCAGGCCTGAGTAAGAAAATAAAGCTAAATCAAAATGACATGGCGACAGAACCATTAAGCCTACTAATAAAGTGCTATAATAAATATTCAGTATCATTTAACATTTATTAAAAATCACTTGCCTGACCCTACCCACATTTACCCACTTGATAAAAAGAAACAGAAACATCGGATCCCCAAAATTAGGATGGAATTCTTTTTACCCGACGTGACCCCGTCTTTTATATTTTACCAAAAATTTAGGTAATAATAAATGTTTTATCATTTAATATAGGGAAAACAGTTTTTTTTTTAAAATTCGTTAATTTTCCCTTAATATAGTAAAAAATAAACCCCCCCAGTGGTGATTAAATACCACCAAAAAAAAAAGCTCTATCTGTCCCCAAAAAATGGTATAAAATGTATTTCAGTGCAGCGTTGCATGATGCAATAAATGTAAATCAAAGTACTGCAGCGCTGAACACTGAAAAATGGCCTGGATGGGAAGGGGGTTTAACACCGCGGACTTGAAGTTGTTAAGCTGCGTGCGCTAACACACTGTGATAGATTACTTTATGTGTGACTGGGCCCTCAATAAGGACAATCATTGTGTAGTAGGTTGCATTACATTTTTCAACTCCCCATGCATATATTACCTATACCTATATTATAGAACTCTTGAATCTGCCCCTCACTCCCAAAAAAATGTCATAAGGGAATAAATGCACATGAATCATTTATATTCATTTCAGCCTGTATTCAGCCTGTATTTTAGTAGTATTTGTCTCTGATATAAAACATGCAGGGTTATTCTGTCTTTTCACTGTGTTGTGTAATTATGTTGTGAAGCAGGTAAACCAAGTAGACAGATTTCAGTGCAAAAGTAAAAAGGTTATTTATTACAATATATATTAACCACGCATGCAATAATTAGTGTTACATGAAAAAATAAACTTTAGCAAATGTATCTCATACAATATAATCATACATATTATCTTTGTATGGATGATCTGTGTTTTGACTGCCATTTAGCATGAACATATCATGCAACATAATGGTTTTGTGGTGACTGTATTTGTTAGTATCACCTAAAGAATTTAATAGAATTCCTATCTACAAATAATATCAGCCGGATAACTAGAAATCACAGGGCCCCATAGCAAAATTTTGTATGGGGCCCTGTGATTTCTAGTTACACCCCTTGCAGAGCCCACATGAGATCCCACACAGCCCACCTGAGGGTGACCATGCAGAGCCCACCATAGACTCTCTAAGGTGGGCTCTACAGGGTCTCAGGTGGGCTGGTCACACTCTTTACCTGTCCGCATCCTCTTCCTCCACGGTCGCTGATGGGCCCGCCTCCTCCTCCGTCGCCAATCCCGCCTCCTCTGCTGCCGACCCCCGGGCATTTTCAGCTTTTATTAAATAATCCCTGGTGACTCTGCTATGAGGTCCTTTTCAGGCACTTCTTGTTATCAGGTGACAACTCCCCCAATGTGTTCCTATGTTGTCACCCTGTCACATGCACCCCTCATGGACACTACAAGCGGGTGTGACCACACAACATCTTTGAGCAATGATGGTTAACTCAGGGTTGAGCTAGTGCATGTAGACAGGAAGAGGCTGGAGGAGATCATCAACATGAAGATATAAAGAAAAAAGGGGAAAAGAAATGCACCAGGTCTCAGCTTAACATCAATAGTGTGTAAAATATTTGAATGCATAATACCGGATTACATGCAGGAATTAGCAAATAAAACTGGTATCATAAGAGGTAACCGACATGGTTTCATGAAGGACTGTTCTTTCCAGACTAATCTATTAACATTTTATGAGGAAGTAAGTACTAAATTAGACAAAGGAATACAATTAGATAATCATCTAGACCTGTAGAACGTTAATCCACAAACTACGGTCTATAGGTCTAGATGAAATTGTATGTACATGGGTGGAAAACTGGCTGCAAGAACTGATGCAGAGGGTAGCGATAAATGGGTCATTCTCTAAAATGGCAAATCTTGGGAGTGGGGTGCCCCAGGGTAAAGTCCTTATTCATTCACAACATGGAGATTGGACTGACTAGCTCAATTTCTGTTTTTGTGGATGATACTAAACTATGCAGAGCAGTAAACTCTGCACTACAACAGGTCCTAAGCAAAATCGAGGCATTGGCTACAAGATGGCAAATTAAATTTAATTTTGAAAAATGTATGCTAATGCACATGGGAGCAAATAATCTGTGTGCAATCTACTACTTGGGAGGTATTACTTTAGGGAAGTCAGACATAGAAAAAGACCTGGGGGTCCTCTTAGACCACAGATTTGGCTATAGTAAGCAATGCCAAGCAGCAGCCAGTAAAGCTGGCTGCTGTGCATTAAAAGGGGGATTGTAGCAAGGGATCAAAGAGTAATACTTCCACTTTATAAATCAATGGTTCGGCCTCATCTTGACTATGCGGCACAGTTCTGGTCACCGACTCTCAGGAAAGGACGTCCTGGTACTGAAGAGAGTTCAGAGGAAGGCTACAAAATGAATTAAAGGGATAGAAGGCCTGAAATTTGAGGACTGCATTGAAAATCTTAACTTACTCATCTTAGAAAAGAGGCAATGAAGAGTGGACCTTATTGCAGTCCTCAAAATCATTAATGGGATCACAATATTAGGAACATACTGTTTAATCCGAAAACTGTATTGAGAACCCAGGGACACAACAAAAGGTTAGAAGAGAGGGGGTTCAATCTTAGAATTCACAAGGGGGTATTTCACTGTGAGAGTGGTGAACGTTTGAAACTCCCTACCACAGGCGGTGGTATCTGCTGATAACATTGATAAATTCAAGAAACTTCTGGATGAGTTTCTTCTTTTGCAGAATCTACAGGGATATGGGAGGTGTTAGAGCAAGATAAATACAGACACCCACTCATATACATAGGTTGAACTGGATGGACCCTGGTCTTTATTCAACCTTACATACTATGCTACTATGTAAAGAAGGATGAAAAAGGTGAAAACAGTATTATATGAAAAACCATAACACTTGTTTGTGTTGCACAGTGCTTTATCAAACCAAATGTCCTCCAGTTAGGATTTAGACCTACTTTAAACTAGAACTGACCTAACACAATTGTAGATTTCTTTGAAAGTAAAGCCTCAGATTAACAGCAAAATAATTCTTATAGTATTTGAAAGGTACAGTGTGCTATTCTAAAATTCTGTATAGACAAGCTTATATTTATAACATTTCATTTATTTTTCTTGCAGGTATTTCAATGCCTATTCCAGTGATTGGTCTTCAGGATGACTCCAGGGTGTTTGTGAATGGGAGCTGTGTATTAAATGATGAAAATTTTGTACTGCTTGGCTCTTTTGTGGCATTTTTTATCCCACTGATCATCATGGTATTTACCTACTGCCTGACCATTCAGGTGCTTCAGAAACAAGCTACTGTGTTCATGTATGAGGAGATGCCAAAGCAGAGAAAGAACAGCATAAGTGGTGTAAAGAAAGACAACAACACTGAAAACATTTCAATGATTCAAAATCATGAGGCTACTTCTCATATGAACTCTCCAGTGAACAAAGAGGCGGCTTTGTTTCGAAAGGGGACCATGCAGTCAATCAACAATGAGCGCAGAGCCTCCAAAGTCCTAGGAATAGTCTTCTTCTTGTTTCTCATCATGTGGTGTCCATTTTTCATCACAAACATCATGTCTGTACTTTGCAAAGAGGCCTGTGATAAGGACCTCATGGTGGAACTCTTGAATGTATTTGTTTGGGTTGGTTACGTGTCCTCAGGAATCAACCCACTAGTATACACACTTTTCAACCGAACGTATCGAAGAGCTTTCTCCAACTACATACGTTGTCAGTATCACAGTAGCAGAAATACAATGCTGCAGCAAAACCAGTCTCATCATAACCCAGCATCAACTGTCATGTATGGCAAGGACCTTAATTTAAACCATTATAGAAATGGCAATGAACTAACTAGCATGGACTTGGATGAGACAGAGGAGGCTATTGAAATGCAGCCTGGGACTTCTGAATTATCTCTAAACAGTTCTAATGTTGTCAGTGAACGAGTAAGCTGTGTTTAAAAAAAAAAAAAAGGTCCAATGGACTTTCACTACTTAGGTCAGTTTCAAATGTTTATGTAAATGAAATCTATGTCATGTCAAACTATAATGTAAATATTTGTTAATTATTAGAGGCCATTTTTTAAAGACATATCTGCAGTCAAGTGCTTCAGTCCAATTATTTATGGCAAGGTAATTTCCCATTATTTTAGACAACATAACTTATTTTGGTTACCAGGCTTGCAGAATGTGATGGCTTTTTTTATAACGTGCATGAACAAAAATTTTGCTCTAAATATGTCATTGGATGACCTGTAAAATGTAATAAAATTGCTGCACATGCAAACACTATATTGATCTATTAAAAAGTACATACATTTTATAGAGCTACTAATGTTTAAATTTTGTTTCCTTACCATTTCCATATGTTTCATGTTTTAAGAAAAATTTAAATCAGCAAATAAAGTGTTTGTATAGTGAAAATGTTTGCTTTTGTTTTAGATAGAGTAGGGAAGGGTTAAAACTAGGGATGCACCGATACCACTTTTTTAAGGCCGAGTACGAGTACCGATACTTTTTTCCAATTACTCGCCGATACCAATTACCGATACTTTTTAACAACAGGAAATGTATTTTTATAAAGTTAGAGGGATTCCCCACTTAAATATTTGTCAAAAAAACAGGTGTCCCCATTGGAAGATTTCCCTTCAGCTCTTGTTTTTATGACAGCTCTAAAATTTTGAATTTCCCATCACGTTCTGTCTGGATGGCACTCATCACAAGGAAATTGAGAAGGTGAATCTCTCCACAGAGACACAGACAGAAAAAAATGACAGAAATTCTAATCTTTCCCTATGCTATCCAAAAAAATGGCTATACATACTCTTTAACGTTGTCTGTGAAGGTTCTCATTAATTTACTTATTTTACTTACTTATTCATAGTAAGTTACATTCAGCTGGACTTGCTCTGTAATGTTGGAACACTGCAGAACAAGTACAGTAAAATGTGACCAATAATTCTAAGCTAACAATGATGTAGGTTATTCCAGGTAGTATGCATTATATGGATATGAAAGTTACCAAAGAGTTCTGTGTGGCCATTTATATAAATCTATACAATACATTTTTTTTATTTATCCTCTAAGATACACATATTACTGTTTAAAGGGCCAGTGTATCTAAAACTTATAAACTTGATTTTAAAAGATGTGAACAGGTTGAGTCTCCTACAAAGATCACATAATTCTAAGACATCATGTCTAGTATCTACAGTGCATCTTCCAAATCCACTATGTCTACTATAATGCCAATGGATTGTTTATATCTATGGATCTACCCAGAATAGCACATTTAAGTATAGGCCAATTATTAGGAATGTGTGGCAGCAGTTTGGGTGTGATTTGTATAGAATGGAAGGTGTCCTCCAAGCGTACTTTATTAAAATATCAAAACTGCACATTAGAGCCCTTATCACACGGTAATTTCTCACATTATCAAGAATGCAGAAAGTGGGAAAAAGCCATGTTTATACATTTAAAAAATATATATACCTTAAGCTATTGGGTTAGCCAACCTACAAACATGCAAAATATCCATGTTAGTAGACTTAAAATAAAACTCCCATAATATATGCACATTTCCTAATGTTTTGTCTCTAAAAATACTGTAAGTACAGAAAAATACCTTTTGATCCCGGCAGTAAAACAGTTCACCTAACTTCCTTAAGCATTGTTATTAGCCCTGCATGCATTCTCCCCTGCTGGACTTTAGAACACCTCTCCCTTATGTTATGGAGTTGAGGAGATGTGTTCTGCAGTCCAGCAGAATTAAACTAGGCAGGGCTGTCAAAACTGGTTGGAATTTCAGTGCGGCAGAGGCAGCATAGGAGCTCATTGGGTTTCTGGCAGGATCAATAGGCATTTTTCTGTACTTACAATAACAGTCAACAACAAAATACCCAGCGCTATCAACATATTCACATGTAAAACCAAATATTGAGTGTAGCCCAAATGTGCAAACTGTACTTTTAGTTGATCACTCTCTCCATCCGTATGTGACGCCAGTGACAAAGACTGCACTCACTGGATAGGGGCTTTGGGATGGAATGTATGTTATAAAAATGCGAGCAGGCTTTTCCATACCATAAGCAGTAACCCCGAGCTACACTCGGGAAAGCCGCATAGCATTTACGTACTTGTCCCTCGAGCCGCGCTGTGTTCTGCGGCCTATGCCGGCTTCCGTCTTCTGGGTTCCGTCGCTTGCGAGCGTACGCTTCGCAGGGGGGCGGAACCGGCGGGATATTTAAAAAAATTAATTTAAAAAACCACAAAGACGAAAAACATTCGAAAAAAAAATGGACCGAAAAATGACATGAAAAAAATTAAAAATCATACCGCCAGGGAGGTTAAATAAATCTATTGATTTTACAGTATCAGGCAATGGATGTTTTTAAATACTTTATATGGGCATTTGGTGAATGCAAAAGAAGGTGGCATAGTGGAATAATGGCAGTACAAGATTCAAGTGGACAGATTGTGATCGGATTGAGCACTGTAAGACCATTTTATTCTAATGATCCACCCTATCCGGTAAGTGTGGTCTTTGTCACCGGTGTCACACGGATGGGAAGAGTGATCACCTAAAAGTACCTTTTGCACATCTTGGCTAAGAGACTTTTGCACTTTGTGATTTACTGAATACAATCAGTTTTAAATATGAATATATTGATAGTGCTGGGCATTTATTGATTGTTATTGTAAGGATTATATTGCTCTTTGAACAGCAGCTTAGACATTCTGAGATAGGTAATATTAGGAGCGCGGATCTTTCAGATTTACAAATTTTTCTGTACTTGCAACATTTTTAAAGAGACAAAAGACAGGGAAATGTGTATGAATTTCAGAGATGTACAGCATGAATTTTTATTTTATTTTGCCCAGACATACTGTACACTTTCATTTTTAAAACACTTTTGAGGCTGTTGACATACATAAACTGTTTGAAATCAGCATTTACAGATGTTGCCTTTGCTTCAGAAATGTATTCTGCCTTCTGTCAGTAATAGTCCTATAGTTTTCTTCACCTTTGAGACTGTTAGGTGTGTCAGAGGCTTTCTGTAGTAGGCCCTCTACTGGTTCCTGATGTCACCAAGGTGTCTGGCTGCTGCCTGAGAAACTTTAAGCCCATTTCCACCCTTACAAAGGTATTTTTTTAACATATGCCAGCAATTTATATTGAGTTTACATGAAGCAGGCATATGCAGTTGCTGTATATGAACACAAAAACATACTTTTTGTCCTCTTCAACTCCTCATGACTCATTTTGGAATGGCCACCTCTGTGCTTTGCAAGCAGTCTGTGTAAATTAACACTCTCTCTTTGAGCTTTCTCTCCCCCATTCATTAGTATTCATAGTCACAACCCCTCATGGACAGTGCATTGTGACCTGGAGAGGCAGAGCTGGTGTGCAGTGATCTTGTTACAATGACTCACAGGGAGGGGGTCAGCTGCTTTACAATCTGACCCAGTGTCACCCTGGAGGCCCATGAGGGGGGAAGAGGGAGCAGTTCTGGCTGTCCAGAAATGTACAGCAAAGTAAAAAGACTATTTGCCTTTAGTAAATCTACTCTACGATTTTAGGCAATGGAGAAAGCATTATTAATTTCCTAAAGACAAGCTGTTCACTTTGCAGGGGAATCAATTTTCACTTTGCAAGGGAATTGTCCCTTAGCTTAGTAAATGGGATGAAGCTTTCCTGACTTCCATCAACCAATGATGTACAAGCAGAAATACAGTTTTTTTTATTTTCCTTACACGTAATTGGGTAGTTTTTGCAAAATGAATTTTCACCAAATTCTCTAAACTTAGGGACGATTATTTTGCAAAGTGATCAGCCTATTAGCCTTTAGTAAATTAACCCCAATGAGAGTGGGGGGAGGGGGGAGTTGTTTAGACAAGCTTACACAGAACACAGAGTAGAAATTTTACCAGTGAATATATAGCTATGAACTATCTATGTAGATTGGCATTGTTATACAAATGAGAAGAATGGCTACATAGAATGCAAATGTTTTGATGGGCAAAACAGCTTGTGTTGAATTATTTTAATGGTAGGCTTGGCTGTTTGCCTTCATATCTTCCTTAGCCAAGAAAAGGACATGTTATTTATCACCTGGAATTGCAGATATCTTTGAAATCATTACACAGGGCTTATAATCAGCAACTGTAAATGATTAAGATGCTGACATATGTACATATGTATATGTACATATATATATATAGATATAACCACAAATGTATATATATATATATATA